CTAAAGTGGAGATTGTTTTGCCTTTACACTTGGATTAAGGTTGTTTTTAGTTTTGTTCCCAAGGAAAAATATACTTACTTATGTTATATAAGGACTTTGGATTTTTATTGTCGATTATATTAGACATAGGTCATTCGAAAAAAAATATTAGACATTGTTGTGTGTTTAGTCTCATCCTAATAAAATAATGATCAGTGTTATAGTTAAATTTAATTTTGTAGTTGTAGTTATTTTCTAAAGCGTGATCTTTTCTTTTATCAAACTTGGATTACTTTCATTGTCTAGTTATGATTTTATCTTGAGTGGGCTTTAAAATAGCAAACACCATTAAAAAAAATTAAAATTCATTTTCATGTCAACATGACATTAATGCATTGTATCTATAGATCTACAGTAACTATTAGATGATATTTTTGATTTTCCATTAACACGTAAACAACTAAACATTATATTAACGTGACAAAAAAAAAAAAAGTAAAGCTGTAATTCTTATTTTATTTTTTGATGGAAGAATTGTTGAGTTCAGGAAAAGTATTGAATACTGATTATATGTAGTGCTACATGGCCGTCAAAATTGATTAAGTTAAAAGACATATTTCTTTTCGGGTTGTAATGTGATTCACCTATCCTCGTGCGACGTGATTTCAATTAGTATTATTATTTACTTTTTTAACGGAAAAAGAAAATTTAACAGATGAAATTCCTAAGTCAATCCCCATTAGTGAGCATCTCATCATAACTCATCTCAAAAAATAAAAATAAAAAGAAATAAAAAAGAAAAGAAATGATGGGAGTGAATTGTCACCACTCGTCAAAATTGTACCATGGAAAACCAACCAACATGCTATCAACCGAACCAAAAAAGTTGGTAGCCAGTATATTTGATAGCCAACATGTTTGATTGGTAGTACCGTACCAATTAAACAATCTTGGTACGGTAATAGTACAAAAGTTTGAATACCAGGATAATATTTACCAACCAATTCATATATATATATATATATATATATATATATATATATATATATATATATATATATCCATATTCTAATAAAAAAAATAAGTTTAATCTCCTATTGATAAGTGTCATACAATTAGAACTCCTTATTAATGTTATATATCACTTATCATGCTACTTGTCAACCTATTAATTATTCATTTCAAATTTTCAATTTTAAATTTCCACTCTAATTAAATTAAATTAATAATTGATTATTTATTTCAAATTTCAAATTTTAAATTTTCTCACTCTAATTACATTAAATTAATAATTGATTCTTAATTTTAAATTTTAAATTTTAATTTTTTCACTCTAATTATATTAAATTAATATCATTTGATTGAAAAATAAAAAAAAATTAATACATATTATAAAATGATATAACTTCACGTATTTATTTAAATCAACGATTAAAATTTTATGTAAATAAAAATATCTCTTAAGTAATAATTTATTTAAAATAATTAATTAATAATTTTCATTTTTTGATATGAAAGTTTAATTAATTTTATAACTGTGATTCTCACGGGTTATAAACTAGTATATATATAAACGAAATCGTAAAATTCAATTGTTAATTGTGTTTAGTGTTTTCATATTTAAGAACGTTATATAAGTTATTTGGTCGCATTAGTCAATATTTATCACCACGTTAAACCATAAAATTAAAACATTACTTTAGCGTTACCTTCAATAGAATTCTTTTGTAAATTAAAAGAACTACATAACTAATTTCTTTACTAAACGTCAAATACCCGATGTATTTGCTTATTTTAAATCTTACAATAGACTATTAAAAGAAGTCGGTATATACCATTACCAATTTGTACCAACCAAACTTGTTGGTAACAAAATATATTGGTACCAAGTATACTTGGTACGGTACTGGTAGCAAATTTTTTATACCAATTATAACTGGTACGATACACAGTTCAAGTAAAAACGAATTGCTACCGTACCAATTCCACCCCTAGTCACCACAACCTCTCTCTCTCTCTCTCTCTTCTCTCTTCTTCCCTTTTTTCATTCATTTTATAAAAAAATAGATGTGATAGTAATTTTAAAATTAAATAAAATATATTGAAATATATAGAAAAGAATTATCTTAAAAAATGAGACTAATGTTGATATATTTTTTTGAAATTTTTTTAAAAATAAAATAGTGGATTGGGTTGAGTTGCTAATGTGGATAAAAGTTTATGATTAGACTGTCCGATATACAGTGGACGAGCAGACTCGTGGTCTACGTGGCCACAGAAGATCCTCGTGCACACCATCCCTTCCATTCGTGGTTGGGCGTGGTCATGCTCAAATGTGGTGCGGACAACGAATGTAAGCGACCAATTGGGTTTGAGTTTCAATATGTTACTGTTCAACGGTCAATTGTTTCAATTTTTTTTTAAAATAAAACATTACTTATATATAAACACAACAATTTAACAATCTATACACTCAAACCATTCTCTATACTTTCTATCTCTAAAACAAAAATACATGTATTTCTTTAAGAATTTTTGACTCGGATGATGACAGAGACTTCATCTCGACATTCTTCAACATTGTGCAACACATTCACGATGAAGAAAGTTCGAATGCTGTTCGTTCAAGCGCGGTCGTCAATCGTGATCGCCAAGTCGCACACGACTTATTGGTACGTGATTACCTTGCCGATAATTGTCTTTACAATGATGACTCATTCGAACGTCATTTCCGTCTAAATAAGGCTATATTTTTACATATTAGTAACGCTTTAGAGGCCCGTTATGAATTTTTCAAACAAAAACCCGATGCTAGAGGAATAATGAGTTTTAGTAGTATACAAAAATGTGAGGCTGCGCTTAGGTATTTAGGATACGATATAACATTTGATGCATCCGACGAGTACTTGAAAGTATCTGAGAGGACCGCAATTGATTGTGTAGATTGGTTTTGTGCATGTGTGTATGCGGTTTTTCACCGACAATATTTGCGTAAACCTACTTTAAGTGATATTGAGAGATTATATTCGGCTCATGAACAGAGGCATGAATTTCTGGGTATCCTTGGCAGTCTAGATTGTACGCATGTGGCTTGGGAAAAATGTCCAACTGCATGGCGTGGTCAATTCACTCGAGGAGATATAAGTGAACCAAATATAATCCTAGAAGTTGTTGCATCTCAAGATTTGTGGATATGACATTCGTTTTTTAGAGTTGCGGGGTCTAACAACGACATTAACGTTCTTGGCCCCGTCTCCCATTTTCAACAATATTTGGACCGGCAAAGCACCTGATATGTCGTTCACGGTGAACGAGCATTCGTACAAATATGGTTACTATCTTTGTGATGGGATATACCCTGATTATTCTACATTTATGAAGGCATACTCGGTTCCTCGAAGTGAAAAGACAAAGTTGTTCACAAAAAGGCAGGAACCAGCGAGAAAGGATATCGATAGGGCATTTGGAGTCCTCAAGCAGATATGACATGTAGTGAAATACGCTACATGACTTTGGGATAAGGATAAACGAATGGTCAAAGCATGTATTATAATGCATAATATGATCATTGAAGATCAAGGTCGATCGATTTGCACGTATGACCCGGGCGACATAGTCATCCCGATTAAAGAGTTTACACCTGGAACGACTGAATTTTTAGCACGAGTTGTTGAAATTCGTAACAGTGAATCATGTTTCAATCTTCGAGAAGATGTCGCGGATCATTTGTACGAACTCAACATGAACGAATATTAGTTTTTTTTTAATGATTTTTTTATGTTTTTTTTTAATTCTAGTTTTTTAAGTAATGTAGTTTTTTAAATTAATGTAATGTTTCTTTATTGAATGAAAAACTAATTATAAATTTTCTATGTTTTTTTTTGTATTTAAAAGTTGTATTTTATTGTATTTTTGAATTAAATTTAATTAAAAAACAAGGTGGAGTGGTGTGTTTAGTGGTAGGTATCCCATGGTTAATGGTTGTGAGTACGGTGATGATGTGGCACCCACCACTATAGTGGTTAGTAGTGTGTATAACGGATGACCTTAGTTAGGTTGTGTATGTAGAAGATAGAGAAAATAGTTTTTTAATAGATATTTGGGTTGGGTTAGATTGCGAATGAGGGTAGTCTAAATGATGTAGATATAATCAATGCCAACTTAGATTTTGACATATATTGCAAGGTAGTCGACAATAGTGATTTATATTGAAGACTCCAAGGGTGAATTAGAGATGTTGAGGGAGGTACCGAGGTTGTAGTTTCCACCAATAACATCATTTAATTTGCCGCTCGACAATTTCTCCTGTCATCATCTCATGGGTATATTAAATGGCTTCTTGTCTAACGGTATTAGATGTTGTCCTCCCTTCTTGAAGTCAAGAGTTCAAATCTCATTTGCGACATTGGTGGATTAATAAATAGTTTATGAGTAGGTTAGATATGTTTTTTTTTGGAACCGGTCTATATATTAATAATAAAAATAAAACAGGAGTCTAGACCCCACTAGCAAGGAGCTAGAAAAGGGAAATGAAACAAAGAAAAGATAGAATGAAAAATAGGAGAAAATAAAAAAGGAAAACGAAAGATTACATGCCAATATGAGTAGCTTAGATATGTCATTCATAAAAATCATCTCATGGGCATAAATGTCCAAGACACAACTACAATACCATTTCAAGGCAATTACAATGGTTTGATCTGATAACCGCAAAAAAATTATTTATCGAAATAAAATAATTACTACTCAGAAAATATTCATTGCTATTGTTTTGTATGGGCATACGGCTAGCATATAAATATAGATACATTGTTTTTTTTTATTATAAAAATTAACTCTAAAAATTGAAAAGAAAAATCGAATAATAATCTCCATGGAATTTTTTGAAAATATAAATGGCTTTCTAAAAAAATATAATAATAAAATCGGATATTAACCAGTAAGTTTTATCTTATTGGCTTTATATTTTAATAAAAATGTCGAATATAATCACATAAATAGCCGATAATAAAAGAATTTCAGTGAAATACGTTGCCTATTTCTCTCCATTAACCTTTTAACCCGAAGCATATTCCCCAGCTTTCTCTATGCTCAGCTTTGATCGTCAATTCTTGGGAATTTCAGTCGCGATAAACTTTTTTCTAGCTCGATTGTCTTCCAATCCACTGATTCATTTCTTAGATTCACTTCTTTATACCTTACAAATGAGGTTTTTTATTCAATTTCTGGCAGTGAAGCCTAGGTCTTGCCGCTAGATTATCTTCTTCCATGGCGATCAGAGGCGTACACTTCAAGTGGTACGTAATCCTATAGTAAATTTCATCATACACATTCTGCATTTTGTTGTTTTGTTTTCTGGAAAAGAGTCTGGTTAATTTGTTAAATTTTCAGGTACGATGGATTCTTCCTAATAATGCTTGCGTTTAGTATGTATCCTTTTGTATCTTAAATGAAATTCGGAGTGAAATGTTATTTTTATCGACGTATAATATGTTCGAAGGTTACATCGGAAGGAGTGATTGAGTATTGATTTCTGTTTATCCTCCGTGCGGATTCGAACATGTAATCTTCATTCCACTGGTAGTTTAGTAGACGCAAACACTTGCATTTAATCTGCGGTGCACAATAAATTTACAAATTGGTTATACTTAAGGAATGATTTAAGGCTAAAAACTTTTAGACAACTGTATTGATTAGTTATGTGATGATTAATATACTTTTTCAAGGATATTTTGTTGTTTTCTTTGCGACTGTAATCAAACAGAGTTATGGTTCTATTGAGTTGGAGGCGCTACTATCTTTGTAAATTTCCATTGCATCTGTGGATAGTGGTGGGTAAACTTGATATTGTTTAGTTAAATCTTGCTTAATTGCAATTCTAGAGCCTGATTAATGTCTTTGTTTATTTGGATTAGGTTGATTATAGTGCTGTCTTTGTTTTTCGCCTGTTAATGTTTGTAGATAATGGTCTTGCAGCTGGAATGGGATTGTAAGTCCTTCTAACTCTCAGCAAATAATATTATTTCTAAATTACTCAACAGTGATAACTGTAAAATTTGATATCTCAATGCTATGCATTAAGGATAACACAGCTTAAAATCAAATTTCTCAATCTTATAGTTGATATTTCAATTCTTTTTTTAAATGATATAGGGATTTTGGTCGAAGGCAAAGAGATGTTTGTTTTTATGGAAGAGTAGTAGTTCTATCAATTCTGTATGTAGTGCTGTATCCGTTTCTTTGGGCATGGAGTGTTACAGGATCTATATGGTTCAATTATGCACACGCCTGTGTATGTGCGTTGTTTTTGTTTCTTGTAATTAACCAGTAGGATCCATGTTGTTGTAAATAAAACTTTTAATGGTTGTTTTTTAAAAATTCTTTCAGCTACCTGAAAAGAATCAGAAATGGGGCTTTCTTGTGTGGTTGATTTTCAGCTACTGTGGACTTGTCTGTCTTGCTGTCTATTCAGTAAATAAGGTATAATCTAAACTCCTATTGTTTGTGATTGATTTTATTTTAATAAAACTTCCATTTTTTTTTTATAAATTCTCGGACCTCTTGTGCAGTGGTTAACAAGGAGAAAAGCTCATTTGGAACGTGCTCAACAAGGGATCCCTATATCCGGTGTTTCAGAATATGGGGTAACCTCTGTTGTTCTTTTTATATTGTCTTGTTAATATCTATATAATTGATTGTGCTAGATTCTTTTTCTTGGTATGTTCTTGTCTAAATAAATTGGGTCGTTAAACTATTAGGATATTATGTTCAAAATCTTATAGTAAGATATTTATCCTACGTTTCTTTGTTTTTTTTTTGACCCGGTCAACCCTTAAATACCAAATGTATATCTTTCCAGGTGTTGGTGGATATGATTCGTCTACCAGATTGGGTATTTGAAAGTGCTGCTCAAGAAATGACAGTCATGGAACAAGATGCCACTCCACATCATCCAGGAATTTACTTATCTGATGCTCAGGTTACAAATAATCTAGAACAAAAAACCTTATTTTAATCCCATCATCTTATTTGGACTGCAATCATGTATCAAATGAGTTTGGAAGATTCTACACAATCTGCATTAGTTTTTGTGTTAAATTCAAGAAATAGCAACGTGCCTTCATTGATTTGTCATCTTACTTTCATGTCTTCCTATTATGGCATTGTACTTGTAAAATGACTAAAATAAACCCCATATATGAAAGTACATTCCTATTTCTTGAATTAGGTCTTATTTTGTTTTGTCTTTTAGAGTGGCTCACGAAATATCCATATCTCCTTTTTGTCATGTAGAGGCAAGCAGTGGAGATATTAATTCAGGAACTTCCACTATTCTCTTTGAAAGCTGTTCCAACTGACTGCAGCGATTGTCCAATTTGTTTGGAAGAGTTCCATGTCGGGGATGAGGTAGCATCCCTTCTTATATTTGGGATTAAATGAGCAACACACTTTCATTGATTTGTTTATTTCATAATCCTACTTTCATTTCTTTCTATTACAATCTTACACTTTGACACTTCTATCCAATTCAATGTCATCCAAAGACAAAGCAATTTCATTATTGCAAATCGAATATAAAGAAATGAAAGTAGGATGCTATTTTTGAATTTATCCTTACATTTTTTAACATGTTTTTTCTAACATGAATTTCAGGTTCGTGGGTTGCCTTGTGCTCACAACTTCCATGTGGCATGCATTGATAAATGGCTTAGTTTAAACATAAAATGCCCTCGATGTCGGTGTTCAGTTTTTCCCAACCTCCAACTTCATGATCTGCCAAATATACCACCCGATCCCAACCGTTCATCAACAACTTATCATTCACAAACTCAACCTATCAGCCAAAGCTACCTTTCCAGAATGCAGAGCTTTCTCATGCCAATCCGTTCCGGAAATGCAACATCCTCCTCCACCACCACCAATTCCGGCCCTAGAATCAGTAATGATTCCGATGTTGCTTTGGAAATCCATTGTGGGAATGAAGCATCCGAAACCAATTCCGACCCTGGAATCAGTAATGATTCCGATGTTGCTTTGGAAATCGCTGAAAATGGAGGCCAATCATCCGAAAGGCATGATGTAGACGCTAGTAAAGAGCGTGTACAATGACCTTTTTGGGTAGTCCTTATAGAGTTGCAATTTTAGAAACAATTTTTTCAAAGGTATGTTTTTAATTACTAAATAACCCAACGGTTAAACTTAATAAATTTAGCTATAAAGGAAACATGTCGCCAATTTAAAAGTATACATCGTTAATTTAATCATAGTTTTTGTAAATCAAATACATAGTCTTTCCTTGACTTTCTCTATTAAGTCGTTCTTTCAGTGCTCTAACATCTTAATTCTCTCAAGATTTTGCATATGTTTGTTCACATCTTCTGTTCTGGGAATCCCACAGATGATCTTCACTTTTTCAAATATCAAATCTTCACACTTTAAAGCTGCAGATTTACAGGCCCTGATATTTCCTGATTCAGGAAAACCATAATAAGAAATGTTACTATTAATACATCATGAGACAACTGAAGCTCATCAAATGATTAAATGACTCACCACTAAGATCCAGTAGATTGAAAACCACAGGGCAATTTCCAACACTCCTGACCATTGTAATTGCAGCCAAAACTTTTTGATGTTCATCCCTTGAAGCTCTTATAATGCACACTTTCGTGATCGGATTCACATATTTAACTGCATACAAATACACGAATTTAAACAATATATAAAATGTTGCTTTTTGTTACATAACAAGTTGTTATGCATTGAACTAAGTCTGATAACAAGGGGACAAAAGACGTGAACGCCCTCCTCATACCTTGTAATGATCCTAGTGAAGAGGCAAGACCACACTCGCCAAAGTTGAGGAGAATGCTGTCTTTGATTGCTTTTGAAACATTATGTTGGCTAAGAATGATGGGATCATCTTTTGAAATATCTTTATTTGGATCCACAGACACCTCCATCACCATGTACCTATTTTTAAATCCCACCATGATGATTTCTCAGCTTCTTAAACCTACAAAATCAAACCAAGTTTAACCACAACTTCAGTTCAAAGTTCAAACTAACAGTGGTTTTTTGCAACCACACAGAAAACAAATAGTTACATACAAAGTCGTAAATGTTCAGAAAGGATTTGCTACGTTCATCCAAGAACAGATGATGCATAGCTAAAATATTGAACTCGTTAAATTGTTTGTAAACAAATATGAACAAATCAGCATAGAGGCATGACTACAAACAGTTGGCATGCTTTGCTTGGGTATGATAAATTCAGAAACAGGAAACATAGATGCAACAGCAAATAGCAAAATATGAAATTGATTTGTGCTATAAATTGATAATTGGCAACATATGAAATTCATTTGTGCTACATTGTGGCATAAAACTCATTCATTAACATGTGGCATGCATACATAAAACATAAAACTTGAGATGAATTAGTTATGGTTTATGGATTAACACATCAACAGATGACATACATGCATAAATGTCAAGTTAATGTCAAAACTAAAAAAATATTAAACTATTAATCAAGCTAATGTAAACATCATTTATCCAAACAAAAAAGAAGCTATTTTAGTCCTAGTCCCAAACTCCCAATTACTTGACATTACTTACAATATAAACAAATGTGGATATGACCTAAAGATTAAACGTTCTTGAACATAAAAGGGACATTTAGTATGAAACAAATCTCACCAGAAACATTCTCTACTTGTAACACCTGTCCTAAAGTTTAATGAACTGTCAATTTTTTTATCAACATATTTAGGCTTTTTTTACCTGAATTTGCACCTTTACTTACAATCCAATTCCAGTAGATAACACTATTCACTTTCTGTTACTTTACCTACTCTAATCTGTTCTTCAGGATCAAAGCCACAGGTTTGCTCGTGGCAATCTTTATGATGGTCTAAAACAGTCTAATTTCAGTAAGTAAGCTCAAACACTCATCAAAGCAAGAGGATTACTCATGCGTCTTGAAAGACTAGAACAAATCTATAAATACAGACAACACAGATGCAAAACATAATAGAATTGCAACGAACTCACTTAGGAATTTTCTCGAACACCTAATATGCAATGCAACGTCTGTATGGTGAAAGGATACCTTGTTACCTGGTTGAATCACTGATACTAAAACAATGAAAATCACGATTTGCTAATGTCAAAACTCAAAAAGAATCAATCCAAAAAAACAAAAATGAAATCGCAGTAGCAATTTAAAAAATAAATAAATAAATAAATAATAAAAAATAAAAAATTTGCTGGAAAGATGAAAAAAAAAATGACAGAAAAGAAGGAGAAATCGATAATACCTTGTACCTGGTGATGGTGAGAAGGTGAAATCGCATATGCTGGAAAAATCGGAGGCAGTCGTTGAGATGATTCAGAAGTCGCAAAACGTTATTTGCTGGAGATGCAAGGGCAAGAGTAAACTCGTCTTTTTATGCTTTTCCCTCCCAATCAAAATCATGTCATAAAGGGGTTATTCTGGAAGACACAAAACTATAGGGGTCGATTGTGATATATATGATCAAAGGGGAGCCCACGGTGGGCATGTTGAATTTGTGAGAGTGATCAGTTTTGTATATTATCCGGCGATTTTATCCACACACCCCCTGACTCCCATTCTCCACAAACCCTAGAAATTTCTCCCAGAAGCAGTAGAAAAAGAAGAAGAGAAGACAGTGCACAAGTGCGAGGAAGATATGGCGGTTGCGAATGCTTATTGGGCTACAGGAACTTTAGTCCCAAATATCCCCCAAATCAGACCTCCTATATTTTCTTGTTTCGATTTGTCTGTTGCCAAGAAATCTTTCAGTCTGAGGTTCGTATCGGGTTCGTGTAATGCTCTAAAATCTTCGCCAATTCATACCCGTTGCCATTGTAGCAGCACCAGCACTAATTCCGATCATGCCAGTGCCACCTCTTCGGATTGGGATTGGAATACGTGGACTCGTCATTTCTCCGAAATCGAGCTTGCTGAGCGTTCTGTTTCTCTTCTTCAGGTGTGTTGATATGTATACTTTTGCTGTTGGTTATCCGCCCTATGCCCGTTACACTTGCTTATCGTTGTTGAATTGTCAATATTTTGTTGTATGTGGATTTGATTAACTGAAGATTAAAACTATCATGTGATGTTTTAGTTCGGAAAGGTCATCTCATATGGCTAAGGATTTGGAAATTATACTTTCTAGTTCATTGTTTGTTAACTCCCATGCTCATTTATTAGTTCCCTCTGATAGTCCTATGATTTGGGTGTTTCTGTGTGATATAGAAGTATATGTTAGTTTTAGCTTTTCTGGAGCTTGCATTTGACCATGGTAGCATACTACATGTCATATGATCTTTTGGTTCTTAACTGTGTCTGTTTCAAGTTAGCATTTTTCTTTCATCAAGTATGGTTAAATTTAAAACTTAAAAGGATTAATGATTTCAATTGTTGGTATGTTACAAGAAAATGCATGGTCAAAAGTTTGATGTTTTACTCATTCATCTAATTGTAAACAAATTTCCATGGTTTGCAGTTTCAACTTGAAGAAGCAATAGAGAAAGAAGATTTCCAGGAAGCTTCAAAGTTGAAAAGAGCTATAGCAGAAGCAACATCCAAGGACAGTGTTGCAGAAATTATGTCTGAGTTGAAGGTCAGACCAGAGTCAAATGAGTAAGAAAGTTATGAATATGTACAAATCTCTGGTCCTCACTGGTCTATTTCTTTGCAGACTGCAATCCATGAAGAACGTTATCATGATGCTTCAAAGTTGTGTAAAAATACAGGAAGTGGGCTGGTAATATTATTCAGCTCATCTTAATTAAGGCCACTAATTAAGATTAGTTTATATCATAATTAATAAATGATCACTAACACTTTCAGGTTGGTTGGTGGGTTGGCTACTCCAAAGATTCTGATGACCCATTTGGAAGACTTATACGCATAACACCAGGTGTAGGCAGATTTATTGGCAGAAGTTATAACCCAAGGTATAATTATAAGAATGTTAAAAAAAACACAGTATTTTTCTGCATTCAATTCACATAATATCTACAAACTACAGTGGTGATGTTTGTATATTATAGACAATTGGTGTCTGCATCTCCTGGAACTCCACTTTTTGAAATTTTTGTGGTCAAAGAGACTGATGAAACATACAGCATGCAGGTAGGTAACTTACAAATCATAACATTATCTTGATTTATCATCTCTTTTATAATTAATATTCTTTTCCTTTTCGTAGGTAGTGTTCATGCAACGAGCCAAATCAAACAACTCAAAAGCCACAGCTACATCCATGAAAGGGACATCAATGGCAGATATCGAGAATTCGTCTGTAATCGATGTGAAAGTGAATGAAGAGAAGCCTGGTAAAAATGATGGAAAAAGTATAAATTTTGAGGGAGACACCGAGGAAGGGATAAGAAGCGTGTTAAATTTTCTTAAAGACAAAATTCCCGAATTAAAAATAAAAGATTTAAAGGTTATGAAAGTGGATGTTGAAGAAGTAATGGCAGATGATGATGATGATACTGTGAATCAGTTATTACAAGAAGATGATGAGAAAACAACTTCAGATGAAGAAGAAGAAGACTCTGAAGACGAATCTGAAACAAGCGATCTTGATCTTGATGTGGGAACAAACAATGATGCAGCAGAAGATGGTCAAAGTTTAGACATGAAACTTTTTGTTGGTGGTGTTTTACACAATAGAGAGGATACGCCCTCGAAAGATGAATTTGTGCGCGTTCCTGCTGAAATAGAAGAAATGGAAAAAGACTCATTTGTCCTTCATGTCCCTGTTAAAAGTCATGATTCTGATAGCGAAGAAAGCATTGCATCTAAAGTCAAAATGGCTGCTATCGCCAGTCAAGGTGTTTCTGAACTTATGCCTCCTGATGTGGCCAAGGCTTTATGGAGTTCTGATAAAGTTTCTAGAAAGGTAAGCCTAGAATAGATTACTGAATGAGACTAAATGACCATTTTACCCTTACATTTCAAAGAGAAGTAGATTGATATAAAAGTGTAGGTGTCAAGGGATGTTCGTGAAATTGTCAAGTTTGCGGTTAATCAAGCAAAGAAGCGTGAAAAATTGTCAGAGTATACAAATTTCAGTCGGATCACCACATCCAGAGGGGATCTAGATCCATTTGATGGTGAGTCAGAGTCTCTTTCTATCTTTCAAAAATGTCTAAAATACCCTTTTGTTAAAACGGATTGGTTTTTATATAAATAGGTCTTTATGTTGGTGCATTTGGGCCATATGGTACTGAGGTTGTGCAATTAAGGCGTAAATATGGCAACTGGAGTGGTGCAAATGATGTTGAGTTTTTTGAATATGTTGAAGCTGTGAAGGTGACAGGCGATTTAAATGTTCCTGCTGGCCAGGTTTGTAATTTTTATATTATTCTTGACTAACTTTTTTATATATCTTTTTGTTCTGTAATTGACCGTTTTGACCTTAGGTGACATTCCGTGCCAAACTTGCAAAAGGGAGCCACTTTTCAAACCGTGGGATGTATCCAGATGAATTGGGAGTGGTAATTGTGCATATACATTTCTGAATTTTAATCACATTAAGTCAAAACAAAAAAAAAAAGTCAAGTTAATTGGTTCAAATGGTATCTTGTTTTTAGGTTGGAAGCTACAAAGGTCAAGGTAGGATTGCTGAGTTTGGCTTTAGAAATCCAAGATGGGTCGAGGGCGAACTTCTCCAACTCAATGGCAAGGTGAATATCATATTTTCTGACACCAAACATGAAATAAAATAAGTGAAAAAGTTGAATTTCATTTTCTCCCAAAATATATTTACATTACATAAATCAAGAAATTTATTACTTTTTGTCAGGGTATGGGACCATATGTCAAAGGTGCTGACCTTGGTTTCCTCTATGTTGTCCCTGAGCAAAGTTTTCTTGTGCTATTTAACCGTTTGAGACTACCAGAATAAACACCATGGCCTCATGCTGCTAGTTTTTGATGAGAGGTACCCTACCCTACCCTACCCACCCACCCTACCCCACCCCCATCCACACCCAATCAACAATGTAGCTACTAAAACTTCTTTTTTCTTCTCTAGTCATACGTGTTAGTATATCTTAAAACGCATATATATATATATATATATATATATATATATATATATATATATATATATATATATTTTCATATAGAGAATATAATTGTTGGCCTGAAATTTACTTTAGATATTTTGACATTTGTGTTTGATTGAGATTGTTGGTGGGATTTCTGGGTCCCACGGATTTTATTTAACAATGAGTGTTGCATTATTAGAGGGTTTTTTTTTTTTTTTTTTTTTTTTTTTTTTTTAAAGTTGATATGATCATGCACAATTGTAATTTCTATGGAAAAATAGCTTTAAGGAAAGGGAGAGATGGTGGGGTCATTGGTGTGTTTTTTTTATTGCCTAATTCTGCATGCTGATATGTATCCAATTAGTGATTATTTTACTACCATAGGTGTGGTGTATTCTTACTTGATTTGCTTTTGGAGTTAAAAGCAATAAAGATAAAGGGGCAGGTTTTGTTGAACAAATGGATCTTTATGATAAAGTAGAATAAGTGGATGCTGATGCTATCTTTTTTACTTGACACAACAAAAACAAATTCTGGGAATTTTGTTTTTCAGTAATAATTATAACAATAATAAGAGTAAGTAATTATAATACAATAGTACATACCGTAGTTAGGAAACAGAATAAGGGGATGCTTTTGATTTGATGCTATCTTTTCGTAAGTTTTTTGTTGCTTTTTTACTGACTTAAATTTTTTAAAACCAAATTATTTTGGAGGAAACAATAGCAATAATCTTTGTGTATATGTGTCATCTGTATAAAGGGGTTGTGAACCCACACTTTTTGGATAAAGTGTTATCAGTAATTGTGAGATTTGTTGTAGTTGTTAATGGAGTTCAATTTAAATTGATGTCTTGTCTATTAACCATGATTAAAGGAGCTTGTGAGATTTGTCGTAGTTGTTGGTATTTAATTAATAATCGCAAAATTTTGTTAATGGGATGTTTAGGTGTATGTTTGGAAACCGATTATATGATATTAAATGATCTATTGTATTAAAGCAGTCTGAATGGGATAGTGTCAAGATGTTCTTGTGTTATTTGAACTAATAATAACGAAATAACCATATATTTGATTGTTAAACTAATAACTAAAATGGTTTGAAAACACTTTTCTTAGAAAAAAAAAAGATGTCTTTTGTGAAGTGAGCAAAAGTTAAAATAATTACTACAGGTCTAACTTTGATTTACTATTTTGTAACCAATTTTATTGCTGATGATTTGCAATTATCTGAGCTTTTGATTTTGAAAAGTTTAAATAATTACTTCAGGTCTAACTTTCAGTTAACTATAAACAAAGCTGTTTTCAAAACATTTGGGTGTGGCTGTGTGTGGTACAAAACTTTTAGCTTTTAAGACTAAATTTCCTTTGCCAGCATGAAATTTATTTTTTATTTTAAACAAAAAACTTTGAATCTAAAAACTATTTCAATTGGTTTTTGGAAGGGTTTTTATTACTGTAGCACAATGAAGTTTGGTCATTTTACCTATTTAGTCATTCAAGTATTTTTTTTTGCACAATAAACCATTAAATTTAAAGTTTATCTATCAATTGCACAATTATATGACCTGATACATTTAGTGTTAGTTACTTTTAAAGTTTATCTATCAATTGCACAACTATATGATCTGATACATGTAGGGTCAGTTACTTTTATGATGTGACATTTTAAATTAGATTTCTTTATATCTTTAAGGACACCTAACTTTTGTATCAGTCAACAACAAACACTAACTCAAGACCTTTAACTCCGGTGAGAGAAGGGTGGTCGTGAACAAGATGCCAAGGGTTATAGGTGATCATATTGCAACGATGTTTGAAGATAAACAACCTAGCTTAGGGCTAGGAAGATGCCATTATGATTTTTTGTTTTTATCTTTATGAACCTGGGTTTGATTTTGGATGTGATCCCGATTTCTTACCTAATCACAATTCGAATTTGATGAAATTTGATGGTTTATGTCCGCAAACCCACATTACCATCTCAGAGCTTTCTTCCAACTTCGACTTTTCATGGCGTTGCACCCATGAATCCTTCTAGTTACGACAGAGGTCGCTCAACATCTTCAAAGAGGAAGCCTTCCTAAATACATTTGCACAAACAATTATGAAAACCCAGATTTTATACAAACACCAAAAACCCCAAAGTTCGTGATTGGCGACGATCACTCTAGGGCCAACGACAATTAAAGCATGAGAGAGGCTAGAGGAGGGGATAAGCAGAAGGGATCAGTGAAGATGAAGAAAAAGAGGGAATCGAATGCAGACGGGATGATAAGAAAGCGATTATCTAGGATTTTTTTTTATAAGTTCAAAATAAATAATTACCTATATTGACAACTTACTTCAATATCACATGTGACAATTAAGAATAGTAACTTAGAAACCGGTAAATATTGGAGTGGTTCCCATATATAACAGGTATAATGATACTTTAGGGACTAATTGCAAAAAAAAAAAAAAAAAAAAAATACTTGAGTGACTAAATATATGAAATGACCAAACTTTATTGTGCTACAGTAGCATTTTCCTTTTTTGGAAAGTTGTTTTCAAAACATTAAGGATATGTTTTTTCACAAGATTCGTAACATTCGATTTCAGGTATGTTCTTGTTGGTCCTTTAAGTTTGAAATTTTTTGCGAAAATGGTCCCTCATGCGATGGGCGTACGTTTGGTATGCTTAGCGTACATGCACGTTTGGAGTCGGGGAACTTAACCACGTATGCTGGGCGTACATGGTGTACGTGGGGCGTACGGCAGCCAAGACCAAACCCTAATTTTTAGGGCATGAGCCCTATTTAAACATCATTATGGCATTTGGACACTTACCCTCATCAGCCTCCACTGTTCATTACGTCCCATTGAAGCCCTAGTTCATCCTTCAAGTGTTCTTGAGCTTTGAAGTGATTTTTGTGACATTTTGGTGTGTTTTCAAGAAGAAGGAACTTGGAGACCAAACATTTGTTGAGGTTGAGCTTCTATATCTAGAGTCTTCATCAACTTAGGGAGCTTTTGAAGATATAAAGTTCTTACCTTGATGATTCATTTGGATAGTTAGAGTTTAGGGCTTGTTTATGATCTTTACTTGGTCCTATGACTTCTCTTTGTGAGTTTGGACAACTCCAAGAGTTAGAGGTGTTAGATCTCCGTCCCTTTGTTGTTATAGATGCATAAGAATGTCATCTTGATGGTTGTTATGAGTCCATGCATGAATTTGAGTCCTTAATATTTGCCTTGATGGATAAAAATGGATGTTGGGTTCCATTAAGACATGCTAAGGGTTAAAGTTGCCAACTTTATGTATTAGAAGCTTATAATGGACAAGATCTGAAAGTTGGACCCAATGGCTGAAGGGATTAAACACTAAATGACTTAAGTTGGTAAGCATCCCAATACGTTGGGCGTACCAAGAGGTACGCTGCGCGTACTGGTGGTCGAAGTACGCCAAGCATACACTGTGTACGCGGTGCATACGCCTCTTAGTGGGCTTTTGGTTATCGGTTGGCTTTGGACATTTGAGCCTTAGTTAGGTGTTGGGCCTTGGCCTGTTTAAAGTAGGCGGGCCTCAGGATTTTTTGGTGGACCTTAAGTTGCTTGATTTGGGCCTTTTTGGGCCTTGGGGTCCATTATTGTGTTGTTGGGCCAAGTTTGGTTAGGCCCATTATGGGAAGGGTAAAATGGATTTTTATCTTAGGGGGTATGGATTTGGGATTTAGGGCCACAATTATAGTTTATAACCTATTTCTGATTAGGGTGATTTGTTTGTATTCAGTGTGGGATCTTCCGGTTCGGTAGCCGAGCATTTAGTTATTTATCAGCGGACTGAGGTGAGTTTTCTCTCAATGTATTAATGGGTTGAAGGCACCAAGACCGACCTATTCTCTGTGATATAGGATGCTAGCTATATATGTAATATGTATATGGAAGACCAGGATTTGGTCCCTGACAACTGTATGAAAGACCAGGATATGGCCCCTGGTATCTGTATGAAAGACCAGGGTCTGACCCCTGGCAACTATATGGAAGACCGGGATTTGACCATCGGCAGGAAATTACTTGTAAGACTATGGTTTGGCCCATAACACTAACTTATTTATGTTTGGTATGTGGTACTTGGGGAAACTCACTAAGCTTTTGCTTACAGTTTATATTTGTGGTTTCAGGTACTTCCGATACTAAGGGGAAGGGTCTGGCGTGATAGCACAACATTCTATCCTCACTATTTTCCGTACTTTTTGATATTGTACTCTGATGATTTGACATTGTTATTATGTGATGGTTTTGGAACAATGTGATGATTGTAACTCTTATTTTAGAATGAAAATTTTTATCATAATTTTTGGGTCGTTACAAGATTCTTGAGAGCTTTTGAAAACTTTTACCTTTTATAAAAAATCATTGGACATCATAAACTTTAAGCTTTTATTTCAAAACAAAAAACTATGAATCCAAAAACTATTTCAACTAGCTTTTGAGCGTTTTTAGCATTTTAAGACGAGTTTGACAAAACTAACTGGTAGCAAGAAGTTGGAAGCTAATAGCTGAAGTTGTAATTTTTATTTGTGATATAAGTATTTGACAAAAATAACTGGAGGCTTATGAAATGTGTAAAATTACATAAAAAGATAATTGTTTATAAAAGATAATATATAAATATATTTTAAAGGGCAATTCTAGAAATTAATTTAAAAAACTCAATAATTTTTTTTAAACGTTAAATGAAACATCTTTTAGATTTTGAACTTTTTTAAAACTAAAAGCTAAAAGCTTTTTACTCTCAAATTATGTTTTTTTTGCTTAAATCGAGCTTTTTTTTTTTTTTTTTTTATTAAACGCTAGACGCACCCAACAGTCTATACCAAACACGCCAAAGTGTTTGGCAGAAATAACGAATAATTTTTCTTAGTTAAAAGCTTAAAAAAACTATATAAAACAATATGTAAATTATAATAATTAGATAATAGTTTTAAATTGTAATGTCATTAAAATGGTGTCATCTTGTTTTGGTGGGGGTTGTATGGTTGGTTGAAGTAATGGAAAAGAATAAAAGGGTAAGTGTTGTTTGTGTGGGCTTTATAACTCAGGGAGGCAAAGCTTAATCTCAAAGTAAATGTAGGAACACTTTGTACTACGTCTATGAAAGTAATGTGACCCTCCTTATCAATCATAAAGTACAAAATCATATGAACTCAAATATCAACCATATAATGATCGATGACATGTATTGATAATTTTAGTTGTAAGTTTTTCATATTTTTATTTGTTTTTAATTTTAGCTTTTAAAAATCGTTTATATTGATTAGCTATTTGAAATATTCTTACGCAAAACCAAAATAGAATAATCCTATATTTGAATTATTGTCATAAATATATTGGATGATGAAGTTGAGGATGATTGTGACACGAATATTTTGATAAAAATCAAAGTTTTTGGTTCTATGTAATATTATTATTATTAGACTTAATATATAGCAATTTTAATGGAAAAACGGATTAAAGGTCCATAGAAAAACCCCTTGT